TAACATGACAGTTGGAGTCGGTTGCAAACAAGTGTTTAATGTTCGAAGATAGAAGATCAAAGAAAACGGAGTCACCACTATTGGGGACGAGATATAAAATACAAAAGTAATGATTAAAAGAAGAAAGACGAACTTTCAGCCACATAAACTGAAATTCACAACTTGAAAAGTCAAGATTTGGAATTCTGGAGGCAGCGACTGTGAATAAGAAATTGGAGTGCAGAATCAATCGTGTGGTTCATTCCGTGAATGCTGGTGTAGGTGCTGAGTGCGTGATTTTATTGCAAGTATACAGAACGAGCGAGGGAGTGACAGAGTTTGCATGATCTCGTGTGGTCAAATCCATGCTGTGTAAAGAGAACCGGCATCCATGATACCAAAATTTGGAGTGGCGGACCATATAAAATTTTAATGGACCAGATATGGTAATGAGCCGAGCGACAGCAGAGTCGCCTAATACCTGTCACCAAACAGATTGCTACAGTGTGTGCTGTTTGCCGAGACAGCTGTTGGTTGGAGTAATGTAGAAGGGTGGTCAAACTAAGGCCTGGTGGGAGGACATGAAAACTTTAAACAGGTAACTGGGTCACAAATGCCGCCTTATGCTTCCTAAATGGGAACCCAGGTATCATCGTAAACGGGGGCTAGAGACACTGAATGGTATAGCTGAATGTCGTAAACAGTAGCGCTTATGCATCCACTCATTATTCTTGCAGCCGTAGTCCATGTGAATTCACCCTCATTACTTTGACTTCCAAATGAGCAGCCAACTGAGACAGTAACTAAAACCGTCGCACAAAAGTGCATAGTTAATGGTTGTATAGACTGAAAGTGGTGGTGTTGCACAAAAAGATACAGAAAAAGCCTCAAATCAGGCAGAGATGACTTTAAAAAAGTTTCATTCAGTAATATGTAAAACGAAAAGCCGCAATCAGTCGCCCCCTCCCCACATGGGCCAGAGAAGATTTCACTCACCAAAGCGTGTGCAGTCTCGTGTAACAGAGTGTATTTTGTTATTTCGCTTCTTGGATAAGTCACACTCANCGAGCTAGGGCACACATTGACAAATCCCAGCACCGGTCTACGGAGATTGACGAATATCACACGGGGAGAGGATAAAAGGGATCAAAAATAACAGGAGAAACAAAAAGTTTGGATTTTATCAGTAGCCAATGAAAAATACAATAAAGTGCGAACAAAATCGGCTTCCTGGAGGTGTATTTTTCTCGGCTAATAACACGGTCAATCTACTAACAGGAGAATAAGATTAAACAGAAGCATGATGCGTGAGGAAAGTGGTCAGTGGTTCGAACGGATATCGTGGAATTCCATCAGGGGAAATGAGTAACACTTAATCCAGTCATTCACGTTGACAAAGGACTGAAGACTCTATGGTTCGTTTTTCTCAGCAGATTTTTGCAGTGAAGGGCAGAAAGCATTATTTGAACACTTGCAATCTTCGCACATTTTATTTTTCCATCGAATACAGTAATACCGGTCTGACCACTAAAGCACATGCTCGACCATTCGCGTGCAGCTGACTGACGGTCACGCCACTCTACCCATAAAACAATAATTCATGCTTTAGATAGATAAAATTCCTGCCGAAAATATATAAATTGCTACGAGTGTTAGTAAACAGGACAATCTGGTGTCTGCACTCTCTGACGTGGACAGCTTAGTCCATGGAACAAGTTCCCCATAAATATCATTGCCTGAGAACATAGCGGTAAGGGATATGGTCTTACAAAGTATAGATGAGAATAACAGGTCGATCCCAACAAACAGCAGCAACAGGGGCGAATTTGAACGAATAAAACAGGGTTATTTAGATACAGATAGCTTACATTGATGGGGGAAGTCTTCATCTAAATCCTTAGTTCACAACTTTGGGGTTCTTCAAGGAGCAGTACTATCCCCATACTTATTGTACACTTATATTTGTGGTATTCCGTGTGTTTCTCCCGCAAGAATTTATAAATATGCAGATAATGTCGTGTTGTGCCTACCCGTTTCGTCTAACACCAGTCTAGGCTCCTTCACCGACAATGTGGATCAAATTCAGTCATTCTCCTCTTCAACGGGGCTAACCCTAAACCCCAGTAAATGTGTTCAGTGTTTATATAGTTTTACTCGTCACCCATATCCGACAGACCCAACAGTAATTAACAACAATCCTATATCCAGTGTGAACTCCGTCAAATATCTTGCTGTAACCATAGCAATCTTCATTGGTCAATCCACA